TGGTGTCCTTGAAGCCTTCTGCTGTCTTCTGGCAGGCGTAGCTGCGCAGCTGCACTGAGTAAGGCGCATTTAAGGCTGTGAAGGGGTGAACGAAGATGCCTCATGCTGGGTAACCAGCTGACCTCCTTCCGATTTCCACGGCAACTGTATGGCCCAACGAAGGCAAACCAGTGCCTGCAAATAGGACATCGGGCGTGAAAGGCTGGGGCATGTGTGAGATTCCAGGTTTGGAATGCAGGGCAAAATGAAATCTGGCACAAATGAGTCTCCCCATTCGGAGTGGGTGGCGTCAAGGGACTCAGCAGGGCCAGCCATTTCACTAGCCAGGATGTGCTGATATCCTCACCCCGGAAACCGAAAGGCAAGCATGCAAAGGGCTGTCCTTGGCAGGTTGTTTTGGTGGCCCAACATAGGCCCCTGAGTGCCTGTGCAGACAGTGAAAGAGCGGAGGGCTTGATTCTCTGAATGTCGCCAAATCTTAGGCTGCAATGGGCGCACAAGAGCAGGGCACCTAGTAGCAGGCCCACAGCGGGCGTGCAAGTGGGGGACACTATGTGTTCCTCCCAGGCTGCAAGAATGGCCAGTGGCAAGGGCAAGGCCTCCCGTCGATCGTGTGGTTTGGGGTTGTAGGCGAAGGACTTGATTAAGGGGCTGCTCATCAAGTCTAACAGGCTGGATATTTGCCCAATGCGTGCAAACCAAGACAGTGCCTTGCTCATCATGACGGCACTGCATTTAAGTGCTGTGCGGTCCTCTGCCTGGGACACATGGCAGCCTGCGATGAAGTCTGAAAGGTGGGCCAGGGTAAGGCTCAGCAAATCACCCACGCACTGATGTACAAAGGCGAGAAAAAGGCGGATGGCACGGAGGTACTGCGACAATGTGCCCCCCGAAAATTTTCGCAGTGACGCTTCAACAAGAATCTGAGGGTGCTGCGAGGCTTCCAGGGCTTGCGCCAGCTTACTGCTAGCGACGCAGGATTTGAGTATCAAAACCCATTCGGCCGTACACTTGTCTTTCAGTGTGGCCTGCAGTTGGGCAGTGGAGGAGGGCTCAGCTGGACGGGTTGGGCCATACGGCCTGGGCATTGTAGGCCTGGTGCCGAACACGCGGCGTGAGGGCAACACTGTGTGTGGTGGGCTGAGCAGGGATCGAATCTGATCTGTGCGTTCCTGGCTGAAGTGAGACTGCAAGGCTAGACTGCGTGGCCAAGGCCTGCAGGGCGGCTTGGGAAGGGGGCAGGAAACAGGGTCTACCCAGGACCTCAGTGGGATGCACTCTGGCGCAGGGCACCCTGGTCTTAGATTAGCTATTGAAGGCCTAGGGCAAGGAGGAAGTGTTGCGTGGCTCCACAGTTGAAAGCGGCGTGATCCTTGCCTGAGGGCCAGCTAGGCTCTGGGTGGGCCTTGGCAGTCGTTCCTGGCGATATGAAGGCAGAGGCAGTAGCCGGGCGTACGTCTGGAGGGCCTGACCACTGGGTTGGGCATAGGGCAGGGCAGTCTGCATCCATCTCGTCGGAAAGGCCATCGGGGGAGAATGAAAATGCTCGCCCCCAAAACTGTTTGTTGCGATAAGGCATCGAGCCTAACTGCAGTGCTGGTGAAGATCGAGGCAAATGCACTAGGGATGCATTTGAGGTGTTGACTCGAAGGCTGGCAGTGTACCTGCGCCGTTGCAGAACTAATATGAGTCTGCAATGTTAGGGCGGAGTACAACAAGGCCAGGCCGTTTTCTTGCATCTGCTGCATGCGGAGCGGGTTGCAAGGAGGGCCAACGCACTGTGCAGGTGTCTTGGGTAAGGCGATGGGTAGCAAACAAGGCTAATGCGTACAAAGGACAGCGAGTATGCAACATAAACATGCACAGAGCGCACTGCGCAGCCCTCCTAAAGCTGAGTTGTGCGTGCATGCACAGGGCAAGGCATCAATACATGGCCACGTTGGGCTGCATGGACTCATAGCACCGGCTGCAGTAGTGCGAAGTGTGCGTGTCCTCAACCAAAGGCATCCGGTCATTGATGATGCGGCCGCAGGCGGAGTGGAAGGGACAGGGCGATGATGCACAAGGCAATGCGCAGCACACGCGGGACTGGTCGTCCAGGTACCAGGCTTTGGCGACCCCCCCCACTCGCGCTGCCTTCATAGTGCAGGGCAGTCGCATGGCCGGAATTTTCGCACACTGCTCCAGTTGGGCTATGGCGCGTGTGTTCTCCTGCGGCTGGGAGGGCTTTGGCCAGGGCTGCGCGGGCTTACGATAAAACTGCCGCTCATTGCGTTTCCAGCAGGAGTCAATGCTGAAGGCGTGATGGTCTTCGTCAATGCGCGTGGCGCACGTGGGAGGGCAACCGAAAGGCAAGTCATAGAAGTTCATCCACCAGCTGCCGTCCCACGCGTACAAAGGCGTGTCCGGTGCAAGGCCCAAGTGCTGCAGGTCAGGCTTGGGTTCGTGGAACCCGGAGGAAGGCTGAGGAGGCCAGTCGCAAGGCGGGTTCAAGGCTGCTTTGGGTGGGGGCCCGGGCGGAGGCCTCTGCGGCTCCAAAGGCAAAGGCCTTGGCTTGGGAGCCGCCTTGAGGATCACCTCACGCTTAGCCGGCAAGGCATCGTCCGGCAAACCTGGAGCGTCAGGCCATTGCGTACTGGGCGGCGAAGGGCGAGGCTTTGGAGCCTCAGTTGAGGCAGTCTCGGGCTTGGCCGGCAATGCGTCCTGGGAAGGCACTGGTGCAGGCGTAGAGTCTGCCGGCGGCAGCTCTGGTGCGAGCTGGCGGCCCAAGGCTTTTCGTCTTTATCGCAGGGCTGATACAAGAAGTTCTCTGCCCTGGCAGGGTCGAGGAGCGGCACCAAGGGCGGCTCTTCAGTGCAAGGCTCAGGCAGGTCTTGAGTAGACGCCCCTTCGGGCGGCAGTGTTGAGGACTCATCCGTGGGAAGGACGGCCTCTGGCAAAGGCGACGAGGATCGCGAGGCCGTGCGTTCCCGCAAGGCTGCAAGCATGGCGGTCAGGGCTGCCTGGTTCTCTTCCGTCATGCTGGAGACAATGCCCATCAGGTCTGAGGAAGGCACTTGGTCCGACATGCTCAAGGCGAGTGAATGGGGCCGAGCAGGAGTGGGCGCGTTGCACACTGCTGAAATGGCTGCAAAACACAAGTCTGATGTTGCAAAACGGATGTGCACACGGCAAAAAAGCTTGGGGCACGTGATGACAAGGCTGCTGGAGAGCCGGCGCGGGCCTGTCATCCGCCGAATGCACAAAGGTACTAAGATGAAGGCATGGTTGTAGCACGGCTGTGAAATGAGGCCACGGCAGTGAATGCCTGAGTCCGCTGAGCGACAGGGCTTATTAGAGCGGGTGTCAAGCAGAGCGCGAGCCACACACTTTTAAAACTGTGAGCATGACGTGAGGTCCACAGGTTCGTGAGAGTGCGTCTCCCTAACTGGCAATGCGGGTATCGCGGGCTGCATACGCACGAGGATGAATTCAAGGTCTTCAAGGCAAGACAAAACCGCATTCAGAAGGCGGGTTGTCTTAGGGCCAACACATGCGTGCAAAAGTGAAACTAAGGCTGACTCGGAGTGCTCGTGCCAGCGATGCTGAATTGCAAAGCGCCTGAAATTAGGGTCACAGGCGGCCGTCAGGAGGCCCCTGGCTGAAAGGCTTGTTGTTTGAGTCAAGAAACATGCTGTAGGCTTGTGCCAGTCAAAGGCGGAGGCAAACGAAGCCAGGCTATCCACGGTGAAGGTCTGGCCCTGATTGGCATATGCAATGGCAAAGGCACACAGTGTCAAAAGGCGGGCGATATGCAAAGAGCCCTCGTGAAGGCCAATGCGCAAAATGATGAAGTCCAGGTAACGACGAAGGTGACTCAGCAGGGCCGAAGGCAATGTGCCTGTATGGAGGTCCCGGAGGAGCCTCGGTTGCCAAGGGCTCGCGGCGCAAGGCAACAACCCCGGAGGGATGCAATTCAAGAGCGGACTCAAGAATGCGTGACTGGGGTCCTGACAGAAGTCAGTGCACCAGTGTGGAGGTCCCGGAGGAGCCTCGGTTGCCAAGGGCTCGCGGCGCAAGGCAACAACCCCGGAGGGATGCAGTTCAAGAGCGGACTCAAGAATGCGTGACTGGGGTCCTGACAGAAGTCAGTGCACCAGTGTGGAGGTCCCGGAGGAGCCTCGGTTGCCAAGGGCTCGCGGCGCAAGGCAACAACCCCGGAGGGATGCAGTTCAGAGCGGACTCAATGCAAGTCTTGGGTCCTGACTGCAGTCAGTCCGTGTTGGGAAGGTCCCGCAGAAGCTGTACAATGCCTAAATATAGGAGTAATGGCAGCTGCCATGGTTGTCTGAAAGGCAACAACTAAGGCCGTAGCCGAAAGGCAGGCGGGCACGGCTACACTTGCAAGAAAAAAGGATAACGAATGCTGCAGGCAAGGTAGCCACGCAAATACATTGAAGCACAGTGCAGTGTGTGTGGCTCAAGATCCAGCCACGTGTCGCGTCACCTTTTCACGTTAGCACATGGTGAGGAATGCAAGGCTGTCACAAAAGGCAGAGCGTCGCCGGTGCAATGTGCGTCACCACAGGCTGCGACAATTATCGCATGGTTGGATGGCAAGGGCTAAGACATCGCGCCGTGCCAAGTGGTGACACTGCCGATGGTGAAACACCTTGCGTTTTGGCAGGATGTACACAGTATCGGGGCGGCACGAAGGCTGGAAGTCAAAGGACCCAAAGAGGGCCTTGCTGTACTGGCGTAGCAGCCACCAGATGGCAAGGCAGGTGAAGCCGGACACAAGGGCTGTGTAAATGGCGAGGCTCATTCCGAAACACAGCAAGGCGTCCATGGCGGCGTTGTGGGTTCCGAAATGAAACCGCAGGTTTGGGTCAAGGCTAGGAGCAAAACGGCCTACGCATAGTTCGATTCACCACATGCCCTAAACACAAGGGAAAAGAAACCCTAAGCGTCGCGCAACAGCAGGCAAAGGCTCAAAGTGTCTCAAAGAATAGCCAAGACACCGTAAAACAGTCGCCAAAAGGCTTGCCTGTTCGCTTCAAGGCAACTCTCATCCACTTGTGCGGCATCTTTGCTTGGAGCTCGTGCTCATAACAAAAGTGCAAGTTGAAGCTCAAGGATTCAGCGCCTCCGCCCCGCTCCAACCTGCACTTGGATGTTGTCATGGGATCTCTCTCATTGCTGGCGCAACACACTGTGATGCAACCAAGGTCGGTCGGGCTTGGGTCGTTGAATCTGTATATCTGCGACCTGTTTTTCAGTACAATTCCTCCTTCTTTCAGCTCCTCGTGCCTCCAATCCTTCGTCGAAATCTTGTCGCGGTCTTCTCGATTCAAAACGCCGTTCCAGTCCAGCCAAAACACATCCCAAAACGGCTGTGATTGCAGCAATTCTCGGATATCCCCGGACACTGCCTGCGGCCTGACCATTGGCACACCAGTCAAAGCCTGCAACAACTCCTCAGCTGTAGGGAAAGACTGGAGGACATGCTTCAGCGTAACAGAGTTGGAGCCGTGTACTGTGCTGCATCGGATGCCATACTTCAAACTAAGCAAGTGCCCAAAACCTTCTGGACGCATGTTGTTCAGCACAAACTCGTTCATGTCGCCGTCTGAGCCCAGGTGCTTCACTGCATGGCGTTGCCCAGTCAAGGCCTCTTTTATCTTTGTATTGATCTCTTGCTCAAAAAACATCATATCCTCCTTTCTGCTCTGCTCAAAATAGTCTGCAGGTTTGGTCAGGTCTTTTCGATGGAACTGCAGATGCTCTCGAAAACTAGGCACCCAATCCCTAAGCGTCGGCTTCTTTTCTTGAAATCCGTGCGAGCTCCTGCTGTCCAGGAGGCCTCTCATGAATACATGCTGGAGAGTTTGTTGCAAGGCCCACCTTAACAAACTCGCGGCGTTCTGGACTGCATCACCTGAGTCTGGGAAAATAGGGTGGACATCGTCCACAACACACATGCTGGGCTCGCGATGAACATTTGGCTGGCCACAAAACAGTTGCTCGCAAAGAGGACATTTCATCTTCACCTTGCCGCACTCGCAGGTCTCAGACTGTACGTGCAGGTTTTGAAGTTCGTTCAACAGATTCTGCAAAATGCCGTTCTTTAAGACGACACTGTCTTTGATTAATCTGTTGTCTTTACCTTCTGAAGTAGTTTTATACTGAGCGCGGAAGGACCCGCCTTTGATGGCCAAAAGCCACTCCAAAAGCTTGCAAAGCCATCTGAATCTGTTGCTCCATTTGGCATCGACTGGCTTTGATACCTGTATGCACAAGCGCAAGCTGGGCGAGAATCTCCAAATTGACAAATTGATGCACAACACCATACAATGTGGTTCAGCAATGAACCTGTGAATTCCATTGCACTCACAACCACCAAGTGGCGGGCAAAAACCTGCACCTGGCGGTGAAACAGCTTTCAGTGGCCTCGGGGGGAACAGTATTGAGGGCAAAATAGACGAAAACAGCGCACAGCGTCTTTCTAATTATTTTGGTCTCAAGCGCGGCATGCGCTTCTGCGGAAGTTTTACTTGTTGCAGCTTGACAACAGTTTGCTGAGTCTGTCCACAGCAATGTCAGTTTTCTACACGAAGCAACAAAGCTCTCAAATGAAGCACGCGCAACCGCTCGTACGCTTGGTGCCTTCTATGGTTCCTATTGAATTTGACAATGATAATGCAGAATCAACTTCAAGCCAGGCGTTCCGATCTAATCGGTGAAGCAGTTGCAAGGCTGGAAGTGATCAAAACAGTTTTCAATATGGGGCACTCGCGGAACAGCTCTCATGCGTGGTACCTTCGCGCGTGCACTTGGGGATCTGCAGCGAGGATGCTATGCATTCCCATTTGGTGTAGCGGCGGCTCTCAAATGAGGCACGTACAACAGTTCTTACACGTGGTTCCTTCGAGCGCACTTGATGAAATTGGCAGTGCGGATGCTTGAGCCAGCTCCATCCATGCATGCCGCACGAGTGTACAAGTACCAAGGCTGAAAGTTATGAAGAAGGAAAATCAAACACAACACACGCGTAAGTTCACAAGAATGTGTGCATGCATGTTTGCATGTTTGTATGTATGTACGCGTGCATGTATGTATGTATGTATGTATTTATGTATGTATGTATGTATGCGTGTCTGTATGTATGAATGTATGCATGCATGCATGCATGTATATACGTATGCATGTACGTACCTCACGTACGTACGTACGTGCGTACGTACGCACCTACGTACGTATGCATGTATGTATGAAGGTGTGAGTTTGTATGCATGTATGTATGCAAGTACGTACGTAGATGTATGTATGTATGTATGTGTATGCATGTCTGTATGTATGTATGCATGCATGCATGCATGTATGTATGTATGTGTGTATGTACGCAGGTGCGTATGCACGCATGCATGCATGCATGCATGCATCCATGCAGGTACGTATGCATGCATGCATGCATGCATGTGTTTGCATGCGCGTAGGAACGTGTGTATAAATTTATGTATTTAGCTTGTTTGTATGTAGGTATGCATGCATGTATGTATGCGCAGGTGTATGTATGTGCGTATGTGTGCATGTGTGCATGTCTGTTAGTATGCATGCATGCATGTATGGATGCATGTATGCATGTTTGCCTGTATGCATGTGTGCATGTATGCATGCGTGCATGCGTGTATGCATGCATGCAAGCATGCACGTATGTATGCACATGCGTATGTACCCGCATGCATGTATGTATGTATGTATGTAAGTATGCATGCATGCATGCATGCATGCATGCATGTACGTATGTCCGTATGTCAATGTATGGCCACAAACGTGTGTATATGCAGGCGTGTGTGTATGTATGTACGTACGTATGTTTGTATGTATGCGTGCACCTACGTGTGTATGTATGTGTATGTATGTATGTATGCATGCATGCATGCATGCATGCATGTATGTATGTATGTATGCATATATGTTTGTACGTATGTATGTATGTCTGTATGTAGGCATGTATGGATGTATGTACGTATGTATGAATTAAGCATGAATGTATGCATGCATGCATGTATGTACCAATGTACATATGCGTGCACGCTTGCATGTTTGCATGTTTGATGCCGGAAAAACATCATCTCCTCCTCAAAGCCACAATGGATGCGGGCTTGAGGCGGGTTCTCAGACCAAAGCTCTGGCGCCATAGACCACTGTCCGGGATCCATGAAATCTGCAACGCTCTCAGAGTCCAGAAAGGGCACCCAGCCGAAAGAAGGCCGACCTTCGAAGCGGAGCCGGTCAGCCTCATTCTTCTTGGCCACAACCACGTCGCCTCCCAAATGAAACATCTCATCAGGGGATTCCTCAAACAAAGGGGGCCGGCTACTCCTCCAGATTCTCTACCTTGGAAGCAGAACGTCCCATCAACTGACTGTCCACCTCCGGGTGCAGCACAATCTGAGACCCGACCCTTGGAAGCGCCGCGGGACAGGCGGAAGGCTGCCCCAAGTATGGCCAATTCAAAACGGCCACCTCCAGGTTGACAGCCTTCTTCGGGTCTGGGCTCTTTGTTGACCACGCTCCTCGCATTCAGTCCCCCCCCCCCCGGTGCCCCGCTGAGGTGTTCCTGCACCCCTCAGGTTGATGCAGCGACTTCTACCTTGGCCTCACAGTGGGCATCATGAGTGGCCTTCTGTTGGGTGTGCTGCTGGACTTCCTCTACCTGTGCCGCCAGCATCTCAGTTTGTCTGTGCGGCAGAGGCGTGCCTCTTTGCATTTGAATTGGAACCGCCTGCGCAGTTGAAGGGCTCCTGGCCTTCTACGCAGGCTAAGTGGCAGCGGACGATCGCAACGTAAGGGATGCCGGGCTGGAAAGAGGGTAGCCACGCTGTCAGGAGTCAGCTGGCCGCTCTGGAGAGCGCAGGAGTGACCCCTTTGAAGCTGGTGGAGCCTGCTGAGAATCCTGTCTCCCGGTCTGCTTCAAGTGAGGCCTCCTTGACAGCAGTGCGCCGGGCGGCTGTGGAGATTCCATTTGTCTGCTTTCCACGCAGTCGAAGAGACGAAGCTCGCTGTGGCCACAGCAAGCGTGGGATCCACTCGTCCCACGAGCAGTCGTGCCGGCACCCACGGACATCTCCAGTCGGACGCAGGTACCCGGTGGCTGTGATGCCCTCTTCCAACGTACACCACGTCGCCAGGGAGGGTCCCATCTTCGTAGAGCACGTCGAGGATCACCACTCGCCGCGGCACTGTGGCACCCGAGGTTAATGGGGGTGGCGTAAGCCCAAGGCTCACTGCCATCGGTGCCATTGCCCATTCGCGAAGGGCCCTTCCATCGAACTCCAGCCAGTGCTCCCGGCGCCCCACCGTCTCGATCGCTGGCATCCGCGGAACCTCGAGGCGCGCCTTCCCGAGCCGCCCACCACGAGGCCGCCACTGCGATGCCAAACGCCAGGGCAGCCGTGTACTCCGCCTCGGCCTTGGAGGGGTACCACCTGCCTTCGGAGTTCTCCTGTGGTTCCCACTCTCGGGGGTGGTGAGTGTGATGGCACATCAGAGGCGGCCAATCCTCGATCTCACGGACGTTGTGCCTGAGGCACTGGAGCTTGCTCCGAGCGCCCGCAAACACACATGCGGAATACTGCGTGTCCTTCCACAGCCCGGACTGGGAGAGACCAGTGCAGGCTCCTCCATGGGTTCTCCCGAACGGAGGCTCCCCGCATCCAGCCGCATGCCGCGTTGTCCGTGTCCACCCGGGCCTGGTCCTTGGCTGATAGCCCCGGGAGCCCCATGGGCTGATCTGCCGACCTGAGGGGCTGGGGTGCCGGTCGTCCATCGTTGAACTTCCGCGGGATCTCCCTTGCCCGTGATTTGGTGGAGCAGTCCATCGCGGCCGCAATGAAATCGGTCACCTCGAGCTGGTCTGCCAATGACTTCTGCCTCATGGGGTTCGACAGGTCATGGTCAGGGTCGAGGAGCCAGTCCACAGAGATGGTGCGCCATCCACACCACAGGAAGGCCTTAG